GCAAGGCTTCGCCGAACAATGGATCACCCGTACAACCATGTTACATCCAACACACACCAACGTAGATGCGAAGAGATTGGCGAGAAAGTTGGACCGACCACAACACAACACCGTCAGTGGTTTTATTGCAAGAGTTCGCGCTCTGCTCTAGTGCTTTTGTGGTAAACTAATGTACGCATATGTTTATTTGTTTGCTGCTCTAAGTGAAACTAAAACGGCAAAACTGACATCTACGTCTCAGCAAGACGGTTCACATTCCAACAGGACAATATGATCTTTTATGCGTATGACATTCTTGAGATTTGCCCGCATTATTTCCGTAACACCTCATATGTATCCTCCTTAAATGGAGTATTTTTTTACAGTAAGTATTAACAGTAGAAACTTTAAAGATCTAGTAATCGTAGGTACTTTCAATCTTAAAATTTGATTGGTGTTTATTCAAAACCAAATGCAGTACAGTTGACGCATTAATTCTAAAATTAGCTGTACTTTATTCTCGTTGAAGGATATAGCTAGCGTATTAAACCGCAGTCGGACGCTAACACAAACCAGTTCTTTGTTACGAATACGTATTCGGCACGTTTCTCTCAACTTAAACGAGGCCGGCAGAGATATGGATGTTACTATTACTACTTCTAAGGGGGATATTGTAGCTACTAGAACTAATCCAACATTATACTCTAGTGCGAGCAGTTACTTAACGGATATTATTACATAAAACGGGTCCATATTCATCAGAAAAACATTTTTATCTACATTTCTAAAGCAACAAAACAACAAGCGAAGTATCACAATTCCAAAATGTACCTGTTGTCCAAGATAAAATAGCTTTAATATTTCAAAAGTGCTCGTAACCTCGACAAAACCTTTTGCAATGATTTAGGTGGTTCGGGCGGGTGAGTGTTCAATAATTCATGAAATACAATTTGCAGAACGTCAACTGAAAACTTAGTCATAGAAATACGAAACTATAAAACATTTATAAACTAAACATCTTAAGTATTCAAAGAATAAGAGACCTTACTTTCTTTAATTATGAAGGATTACAAATAGATGTAACATATAAGAAAGTGCATAATAATATTTATTATTTAAAATTAACGGCCTTTTTTTATACTTCATAGGTTAACACTTGACTACGATCCCACCTGATGGTAAGTGGTGATGAAGCCTTGGTATAGCGCATTAACCTAGTAACAGCCTATTCACTCTTGATTTGAAGGCATTAATTATATATTAGACCAAAATTAATTAAGTTAAAAATTCGCGTTAACGCTTAGTAGCTTAATTGTAAGTTTTGATACCAAGTGATCTATGCATCATAGGAAAATTAAAACTTTAATTCATTATCTCTTGTTATCTATACACTTATGGACTCTGATAAAAAAATAGATTGATCCCAATATGTATGTATTGGCATATCTGTTTAGACATAATAAAAACATTAACATATGCATCCGTCATATTCGTCGTAATTTATGGCATCAAGTGATTGTTAATTATTTAGTAGCAAGATATTTAACTTACACTTAACTTAAGAAGGTAGTAAATATATATGAAATGAAATCCATAATAAACATATCACACAGTCGTACTATGGTAATCCGTGTAACAAAAAACAGCCAATCGAAACATGCGGAAAATTAGTCACTGTACGCAGATAATACTAATGTAAATCATTACTGACGATATAATTATAAGTCAAAGTGATATAGAATGAATCAGCTGACTAACTCAATCAAATCAAATCATTTATTGCATGTCACATTAAAATTATAACATAGTAATTATTTTGTTGCTCGTGTACATGTGACGCCCTGTAAGGGCATGGCAATGTTACAATACAATACAATAAAATAAAATAAAATACAAATACCCAAAATTAAATAATATTAGAAATTACATGTCAAGAAACTTATAACAATATATATTAACAATAATTAAATTAAATATAAATTAGGCATTTCAAATATCACAATGTTCATCAATAACAATTTTTAATTTATTAATAATAGTATAATATTTATGTCAATTTTTCATTAAAAAATTCATCTATATTGTAATATGCTTTATTTAGTAAGAATAATTTTAATTGATTATTAAATGACATTTCTGTTTCCAGATTTTTAATATAATTTGGTATATGATTATAGATTTTTATTGACATAGCATGCGGGCCTGACGAGACTATTTCTAATTTTGAGAAGTGCATTTCTAGTTTGTTTAAATATCTATTGCCTCTCCTAACACTTGTTATAGGTGTATAAAATTCTGGGTGTTTCCTTACGAACTTACATGTTTCAAGAATATATATTGATACAAGAGTCAGTATTTTGTGTTTAATAAAATGAGGACGACATGATTCCATTTGATAAATGTTAGACATTATTCTGATACACTTCTTCTGTAGTATAAATATTTGATCTACATGACATGAGTTTCCCCACAGAACAATTCCGTAGGATAGAATTGAATATGCATATGCGTAGTAAGCTGTAAGGGCAGTTTTAAAATCCGTTACACGTTTAAGATGATGTAGTGCATATATAAAAGACGACATTTTATTTACTGTCTTTTTAATATGTGTTTTCCAATTCAAACACGTATCCAAATCCACTCCTAACAAAGTAGCAGAGTCAACGGTCTCTAATTTTGTACTCTTATAACTATATGAAATTTGTAATTTTGATTTTTGATATGGCTTAAACTGAATAATTTTGGTTTTACTAAGATTAAGTTGCAAATGATGAAAGTCTAGCCAGTTTACAATTTTGTCCAATGTAGAATTAAGTTTAGTTTTTAAGTCTGTTCCGTTGGAGCATGAAAACAAGACAGATACATCATCGGCAAAAAGCATACATAGGTCGTCTAATATGTTTGGAAGATCATTTATATAAATAAGGAATAAGATACATCCTAAAACGCTGCCCTGAGGAATAGAGCCTTCAATATGGATTGCATCTGATTTGGTATAGGTAATCATACCCGTTACAAAATTTGTATGTTGAATTTCTACATATTGATAACGGTTATGGAGGTATGATCTAAACCAATCATGGGCTTCTCCTCTGATTCCCGTTTGGTATAATTTATTCAAAAGGGTTTTATATGACACCCTATCGTAGGCCTTACTCATATCGAGTAAAAGGCCTACCGCGTACTTTTTATTATTAAAAAGTTTTTGCAATGTAAATGTATAATTAAAAAACTTTTGCAATGTAAAACATTACTCAAAGCAGGAATTTATTTCTTCTCAGTACACTAGTTTTCCTTCAGCGGCTTCGCCCACATTTATCACAGAAGAGATTCAGCTTTGGCATCTGATAACTAATAGCATAACATAAACTTCATCACACACACCCATATGAAATACAAAGTTATTTTCTTTAAAAATATAGTCTCTCCAAGATATATGTATACGAAAGTACAATATCACAGGCACATTTTTAATTAAGATTAGCTTTTGAAACCCCCGTCTTATACCATCATGTCTGAGCATCCACCAGGACGAAATTTTGTCTTACGTATTATACTTTTGGGATATGGCGAATCAGTCAGGTAAGTTGTTGCGACCTACCTCGCAATTATTTAACCCTTGGGCTCGGTTTCCTCTTAGTATCTTTTTGACTATGTAACTGTTAATTAGACTTGGAATGTGTCATGTGTATTATTCTCTTTAAACGCGTGGGCGAAGCTCTTGGTAACATATCTTTTTAATAATAATTATGTATTATTAATAAACGCGAATAATCATTTAATAAATATCGCAAATTTATAAATAAACATTAGAAACTTCTTGCTCGTTCTTGTCCAGACTTAAAAAAGAGAAAGTTTTTAGATCTGGAGAAAAACAACTTTATTAATTAGCAATTTTTAGATAGAAATAATAATTAAAATGAAATAACAACTGAAAGACCATTAACAAATCATAAACAACCATCTCTTACTTTATTTTTAATTCTGTTACTTTAGTATTTAATAAATGTCGTCATGATAAATTATGGCAGAACGACTTCGTTGAACTTATTTGTAATCAGCTAAAGAACAATTAGCACATCAAGATCTTATAAAACGAACAGGTTTCAATGAGAGACAGGTGCTGCGGAATAATTACAAGTAAACAATTGCCGAGACATATATTCTGAGAGCGGTTTCAAAGAAAAGTGCCACTGAGATGTCGAACAGATGTATCACAACCCACCTTGACCACAGGAAGATCCCAATTTGCATCCCGGTCTCAACTGTCCAAGGATGTGTAATAACAGAGTTCATATCGCCAACGCGCATGAAATAATGACCGCGACGGACAATATGATTTAATTTATTTCATTTATACCTTCGTATACCATAGTCAATTTATTTGCCTTGAATACATAGTACCAAAAGCATGATAGGAATTTCTGATTACATTGCGCGTGTCAGATTGTTATTAGTATTAAGTTTCGTCATTGAATTGATGTGTTTTGTATCGTCTGCGGTATATCTCGACGCGAATGGCACTCGCTGAATGCCTGAGAGGATCTGGTGTCTAAAACCTGTTTTGCGCCGACCGGACACTGAAAGGCCGCGTCTTAGGTTACGAGAGCTATTAACAATAATTGCAATATATTATATAATAAATGTATGGATATTTGAACCTCATACCTACATTCTAATCCTATCACGTACTACGTAATTTTGATGCTCATAAATATTTATGATAGTCAAGCTTTGATATTTATTTAAATAAACATGAAAGGAGAAATATAATGAAGTAAAAACATTCTGAATCTTGAGTTTATGATTCTAGAGAGAATGATAGCAAAGAAAATGAGCGAAAACCGGCTCTGCATGCTTTCGCCATGCGGGCATGCCGTTAAAAATACTACTACGTCAATCGGATAAAGTCCGATATCCGAACGTTGCGTGAACATGCAAATTCGCCACTCGAAATGCAATGTGACATGACGAGTGGGGGTGGGGCGGCATTCCTAGCGTCTGAAAGGGGGAACTGGCGGTCATCGACCGTCCTCCGGCGGTCGAGCATAAACTACGCAGCCGCGTAAGGTCAATATAGCCGCTCTAGCGACCGGTCCAAAGCTCGCCACGTAACAATTGCGAAAGACCTTTGTTCCATTGGTAGGCTTGCTATACCGACCGAAAATCAATTACTGTGCCACACACGAAATGTAATTAGATCGGTTGAGCAAGACGTATAGGCATTATCTGCAAATCAGATTGTTGTAATTCGCTTTGTCGCCAAACGTGTTGAACGCGCGACAAAATCCAGTTCCCATTCGGCTGAGAGAACAGTAACAATATAATCATTCTTTGGATGTCTTGTGATTATGTGCAAGGCAACAATTTTTTACCATACACTAAATTTAAATATTTTTATGTCTCGCAAAGGTAAAGATTTAACGCGCTTATTATCTATCACTCACGGTAACAATTATCAAGAATTTATTACGATAATGCTTGCTTACTGATAGTACAAACTGCTTTTAGTAGTTTTGACAACGTTTCGTTCGCAATATATTACGATATCAAATTTAAATACCGAGTATAATAACTCAAATGTCATATATAGTTAGAAATCAGGTTCGTATATTATTAATTTCGTATATAATTTCTTTCCAGATTCACTAGTAATATAATTATGATTGATTAATGTAGGTTGAGACGCGCCATACTGATACTTATATTTTTATAGATTTTATTGTAAGCTCCACGACAGTTATACATATTCGAAAAGTTTCTTATCCCAGTAGTACCTACAAATGTAGGTTGAGACGCGCCATACTGATACTTATATTTTTATAGATTCAATTGTAATCTCCACGACAAAGTTATACATATTCGAGTTTCTTATCCCAGTAGTACCTACAATCTAAATTTGTAATGCGGCATAAATCGTTAAGTATTCTGTTGAAAAATATATTCCATCCACACCTGCCAAAAGTTTCATAATTCGGTGTAGCAACGAATGGCGCGCCTCCATAGATGGAAACAGACTTACTTTCATATCCCGCTGTCCAGGACCACATCGAGACCATCGCCAATAGCCAGTGATACATGAGGCCTTCTATCTTCCAATAGAGGGAGGTGAACAAGGGTCTGACGAGGCGCAGAGCCATCATCCACACGACGTAAGCAGGAATGCAGTATATGTTGTTGACGACGGCGAATGTCGTTCGGGCCACGATCCGCACGTACCGACTGAAACAGCAGGGCCGCGACGGTTCATCTTTGACCTTCTCGCCAGACGTCTGCGCCCACGAAACCCACAAGGTCGGGAAAACGTAACAAACACAGGACTTGTGACATGAAATGTGATGTGCGAACACCGAATAATATGACCGGAGGGGGTTCCGTGAACAAGCGAGAGGCGAGATGGCACCGTACCGCGTTCTCCCTGCCGACAGCTGCCTGACGCGTGGGCTTTCGTCGTGCGCGGACAATGACGCTGCGCCACCGTTTGGAATCAAACACAAAAGTACATTCGACGATATTTATTACTGGAATCGTTCACCGGTTCACTGTCGGTTATTTCGTTAAGTAGATTGCGAGTACAAATTTAAAAATCGCCCGTCGGCGAGTGACAATTTTCACTCGCCGCCGAGCTCACATGCGTTTTCTTTTGCGACACACATTTTACACCGATCGACGTAACATTAACTCGTACGACGCGAGCACACATAGACAGACATACACAATTTTAGTTTACGATGCATACTGTGCACGACCTTAGTCGTGCCGAGTTCGTCGTGTAAAATCAATACAAAGTTCATTTATATAAAATTAAAAAACATCGGATGCTGAAATTATACAAAATTACAATATTAAAGACTGTACACTATCTAATATATACAAAAGTTGCCGGCATAGATATGTGCGAGGGCTTTATATACAAGGCGGTGGGTTGGCGTCACGAACCTCGAGACCTAGTGTTCACACATTGTAATCGTGAGTCATGAGGCCGTGCACCTGCTCGAGGCGGTATGCAAGTCTCTGTTTCTGCGAGAACTCGTCCTCCTCGAGCGTCACCATTAGCTGCTCGTTGTATTTAACCGCATATGCATACAGCTCATTCAACGCGCAATTTGTGTTAAACTCTTTTGTATGAAGACGAGACTCTTCTGCTAACATAGCGTTCATGTCCTGGTCGGATATAGCCGGCATCAACTTTATATCCGCGTAATAACGCTCTACCCATTCTTTATAAACAGGAATATCTTTCGCGTAGAGTAGCTTAGACGAAGGTGAATCTTTACCGAGGATGTGGTCGGAGGTTGAGCAGGAGTCCATAAAAGTTTGCGCGATGACGGATAAGCACGAATCAACAGTATTAGATTTATGCACATCGAATACAAAGTTAGGATTTTTAATCAGATTAACCCAGAAGCGCAACGGAAGAGAATTGCTTTTCCAAGTGTGAACTACTTCGGGGTCGGAGATTGCATGTTGTAGCGCTTGATCATCGAGGAAATCGAACATGTACTTTATAGCTAGAGGTAGCGCTGAACCACGGTGCGCAGTACTAAAAATAGTCTCGAATAAATCATCGACGAACTTTTGCAATGTACCTTTTGTGGCGAGTAGTCGCGTCAGATATATTTCTGAAACCATTTTGTTTCCACGCTCTCCCTCTTTGTGAGCGTCACCATCGTGGTGCCTAACCAAATGCCAATATTTGAAAGCATTTCCGTGATCATATTTGAGTGGACTCGCAGGTGGACTAGCAGACCCATATTTACCACGATTTAATGTCTCATATGTGTGAGATTTATCATTTTTCTCCATATTAGAAAGGTTGTAAACTGAACTTTGTTTTGCAACGAGACTCAAACATGCCCCATCTGGTACGCGATAGTGATTTAATGTATTAAGCTTACGCCACTCGCCCTCACATTTAGTTGTGCTATCTTCGTCATAGAGTATTAAACGACCGCAAGCACCTGTACGCCATTCTAGATCAAGGTCATCGCGACTAGGTCTTTGGGAATAAGGTGTAGCTCTGTAAATGGCATCTAAACACTTTTCTTTCACTTGGCTTATAGTATCACAGTCGAGAACTTTTACTTGAACGTTCTCCGTTGTAGCCTCTAAGCCGCTTACAAAAATGGTTTGTTGTGATATAGATACACTAACCATCATCGCTTTAAAATCAATCGATTGCCTAATGAGCTTTTCTTCACTAAGAGAATAACGCGCTTCTGACGTAATCGCATCTACCGGGCCTTTGTCTACCTGACCTTTCATTGACCTAAACAAAAGATAAAGCGGTTCGCCTGCACATTCGCGAAGAAATTTATATAGCAAGAAAGTAAACCACGCGCTTAACATTTTCTCGGCTACACTTTCAGTACGCCTCAACAATAATTTTGGATGACTTTTACCTTCCATACATTTTTCTATTAACTCAGCTAATAATGTTTTTAAGACGTCAGTACAATATTCCATTTTACTTTGTAACGTAACCATAATAAGTGAAGCTACATTAACACGATCACGCATAGAGAAATATCGATTGCTTTCTAAAGTACGAATAAATAATAATAGGAATGTTTTGTTCATAATTAACTGTCCAAACATTCTGAGACCCTTCTCCTTTCTAATAAGCTCTGGACGCTCCCATTGAAGGACGGCATGCTCGTCTATATTAGGGAACAATATTTTCATGGCATATGTGCGGTAATCTAAGAATGGTATACCGCCTGTCACGTCTCCCGTTAAATCCGTCATTTCAGTCTGCAACTCGGCAAACGCCTCTTTGCATTCGGCAGCTACTCTTAACTCTAAAATGTCCATTTGCTCTTGCATATTCTTTAATACCCTAATATTTTCAGTTGATTTTCTCTTATACATAACTAGAAATACGACAAATACTAAAATGAGTATTACTATACTGGCTATTACACCGAATAATACTGGCTTTCCTATTGCCGCCTGCAAGCCAGCCTGTGATGAATAAGATAATTTACCTATTTTAAAGGTGAGTGCACGTCCGACTTTGACCACAACTTCAGGTGTATCATCGCCGTCTGGCAATTCATCGCGTGATGGAGGCCGACAAGTCAGGTGGTGTCTAGTTAGAGCTGTTACATTACAAAGACTTTCGCCTATATGTACTTCGACATCGTACATCGTACAAGCTCTATCTAAATTTTGACCATTAATTGTTAAATATTCAGACTTATAATACTTAACATCTTCATCGAATTTTTCATAAAATGGATCAGGATAAAGTAAAAATGCATCACCTGTTTTAGAGGTAAGATTTTGTACACTTAGTACGTCGTCCATATAAAATCCATACTCTAATTCTAGAGGTCTGTCAGGATCTAAACTTAAACCAGCACTTTCAATACCAGGTGATTCACAAATTAATTGAGTCTGAAAATCAAGTCGATGACAAGGTGCTATATAAGGTCGGTTGTCGTGGTAAACATATATCTGTGGAAATTGTATGGAATGGAAATTGCGACCTATCACTTTAATATTTATACCGCCGGATGGAATACCTTTAGGTTGTTTACGTTGCGATACAAGAGATGGACCAGACTCAACCGAAACAACAACCGGGTCTTCGATGTATTCGAACTTTTCACGTTCTAAAGTACGCATTCCATTATCAAAACGCATTCTTAATGTGCCCATCTTTAATTGATAAGAATGACTTGTTCGACAAACAGCTTCTTCGTGAGTGACTGATAAAATGGCACAAGGTAAATCGTCTATAAAAGCCTGTATGTTACTACCTGCATTCAAATATTCACCAGTTATGCGAAGTTTTGTGCCACCAGATTGTGGGCCATATTTAGGTTGGATCGAATTTATTTTTGGGTTTACGAAAGCATAGTGATGTTTTGATTCACCCCTATAGTCTGCTACTCGAACAACTACGGGACCATCTCTTGGTACTTCTTCACCTGGGCCGTCTACAGTGCAAACAATACGTCTGGTTTTAATATACATTTCTATAATAGGTTGACACTTAATTCCTGCTATAGTGACTCCGTTATAAATATCGGAAATATTACGACCTAGATTAATACCTTCTATAGTAATGTTAGTACCGCCATCCCATGGTCCTAATTGAGGTCTAAAAGAATGAATTTCTGGATTGGGACATGTTTGAGTACGATTTAGCCAAACACTTGGAGCTCCGCATTGCTCCTGAACTTCGCATCGATCTGATCCCTGACACCAACCACATCCAAACTTTTCTGGAAGGGCAAGACACATGCCACAATTATCAGCCATATCATTACAACGGTAAATAAGAATATGAGTATTATCGGGGTTGTCTAAAGGTTTTGAACCTCCCCAAATAACAGCAAATGAAGCAGTAATATTAGGAGCACGTGAAGTATACGTAAATTCTACAGGTTCGCAATAAATGGTATCCGCAAGAAGTTGAGCATTTACATGTGTAACACGACCTTCTATATTGAATTGACAAACAAATCGAGTCTGAACTATGAATTGGCCAATAATATGCACTTTGACTTTTATAGCTTTTTTCACACCAGAAGGGACAAGAATTTCATTTGTACCATCAGAAGTTGAATTTATTGTAGGGCAAAAACCAGGACCTGAACGATAACTAGGACCGATTCTACTAACTCCTGTTACTAAAATATGGTTTCTACAATTTTCAGCAGTGTCATGTGTACAACGATGACCATCTACGCACCAATCGCATGGAAAAGATGAACTTACGCATTGCGTACATGAGCTGTATGTATTGCAGTCAAAAAACGTGAAATTCGTGGCTACAAAATCAGGTCCCTGAGTAGTACGCACCGACAACTTAGCTGTAAAATGATGTTGACCGGCAGGAATAGGTGGAAGGGTGTCGGTGCGTGGAGTAGTACAATTAACACCATAAGGTTTTCTAGTAGCATTAGTAATTAAAGTACGATCTAAAGCTGTAAATGCACATAAAAATTGTCCGTTAAGAGTAGGCAAATTCTCAATAAGTAAGTCTAATGTTCTAGCCGTGGTTCGTTGCAATTGATTTGGAGTTATTTGAGTAATAGTAGTGCAACGACCACTACGATATGATATCCAATATAGAGGATCTTTAGCTGCCTCCTGACAGTCGGATCGTAAGCTGCACTTATTTTCAAGAGAACACCATCCACAATAAGGGTCTTTGGCGCCGAGACACTTTAAACACGATTTATAAACACTACACTCTTGAACTTTCACTTTGGACACTTTACGTTCTGTCATTACATATAAATGCATCAACTGAGTATCGAAGAATAAGTCCTTATTTACTGGTGACCCTTCATCAACAGCAATATCTTCATATTCAAAGGCGGATGTCGCACTTTCAACTACTATTTTCTTTAAATGACCCTGAGCAGTTCCTGCAAAGACAACAGTGTAATCTCCTGTTGCAGTTGCTGCCACCGCTGTTAATCTCTTTTTAAATACAGCTACTGGTACGGCTTCAACGGGTTGTTCACCTCCCAACGGCGTATTAACATCTAAGCCACAGAAATCCTCACTGATTGATTGTAACTTGGTTCCAATACATGCATGAGATGGTGATATAAAATCAAGACCCCGTGAACCATTTCCACTGAAGCATGTTTTGATGTTTTGCATGAATTTTCGACGGATAGCTTTCAGTGAATATACACATAGTGCTGATAAATCAGATGGCGTGTTTGTATTAATAGATTCACTTTGACTGAATGCAGCAAATAAAACATCCTGTTGAGCTGTTATACCAAGTTCACCAGCAAGTACAGACCCAGCTCTTCCAACAAAGGCAGCTTGCACAAGGTTGTATCCGAAATTCCCTCCACCTTCTCCATTACACGACATGGGAATTTCTGTATAAGAGTAATAGTTTTCGTCATCATAACACACGCGTACTAGTTTACTATAATATGTATCGGAACCCACGCCTCTTAGCTGCGTAGTTAAAAAGTAACTGAAGCCATCAGAACCAAATCCATATATGTAATTGATAGGGTATCTTTCGCGTGATAATGAATTGACAAACATTCTAGTGCCTGTGGTAACTGCTGTACGTGCTATCATAAACAAGCGGTCATCTTCTAATGACCTGCTGCTAACTGTAGGAACTTCGGAACGGTAAGGAGAATTTCCGGTAAATGTCACTCCTACATACATTACTTGAGTCATCGGCGGATTTGGTGGTCCAGGAGCAATAAATGCCACGGTCGATGCTGTTGCATTGTTGGCTACGACTGGTTCTCGAACTTCACGCACGTCATGAGATATGTTATTCAAATTACGCACAGAACACAGTCCCTGTAGAACCGAACCACATGTTATAAGTCTGCTGTTCACTCGGTCAATAACAAGAGCTTTGTTCACATTGTCTGTAGGTTTTTTGACGAAATTCGCTGGACAATCGAAGGTACAGAAAGCAGAATCGTTTACAGGACCAGTAATAATCGACTGGACAACTTCCAAGTCTGGGGACAGTTGATAAATTCTGTTGACGGCGCCGATATACACACGGCCTGTGTGGCCATCGACGACGAGATGGTTGAACTGGGAAGTCGGCGACGACACTGGATCGGTGAAGGTTCGCACCACATCCTGCGAAGCGCGCGCGGCGGCGCACGCGGCCCCCAGGGCCAGCAGCACGCGCCACATGGCGCGATGGCATGTGGACGGCACTCTACCGCGCACGCCACCACCCGCTCGGCACACCACTCGATCTCCTTGTCTCCGCACATCTGCAACGCGAGACACCCACTCAGGCACACTGTCCGCGTCCACCATTTGGTCAGAGACCAGCCGCCCGCAACGTCGACACTTCGATCCCATCGCACCGCACTATTCCGCAGCCTGCTACTCGCCTAAATCGAGTCCCTATGATATACGGCCCTATATGCACTCGAAATCCTATCTCTAATTCCAACGATTTTTACATTGATCCGCGGTGCGCACGAGTACACGCTACGACTCGGAGAGGTCCAGTGCGATCGGAACGAATTCGCCAGCTGCATCGACGATGCACAGTGACAGTCTTTCTAGATAAGTAATATCAGTACTAACGTATTTACTTACACATTTATTACTTATTGTTCACAAATAAATATCTCATCAATGAGGAAACATAATTAACTAGGTATAATTTACATAGTAAAATGATAAGAGTGTTTGCAATGAAATATACATATCAACTCATTATAAATACATTAGTACTAGGAAAGATCAATCACTAGGGGCCTCGACGCGGTCAGTGCACTGATAAAAGTCACACGCCGACGAAAGCCTCAGCATCATCAAAAGGGAATTAAATAAAAAATAATAATTTGGCATGCTGTTCGTAACGAGGGAGTGAACGTGGTAGCGCAACAATAAAACAAAATACATTGGAGAAACCAAAAAACATTGACTGTATAATAAGGACAAGTACTCACAGAAATGACATGTTGGAGTGTGAAATGGACGTCAAGTTATTCCAACTACGTGTAGATCATAAGCATGTAAGGCGTATTCTCATAATGTGTGCAGTTGTCGGGGCTCGTACTGAGATCTGCAACAATTAATTCAAAGAACTCTCTAGAACTGACCTTTTCAAATCATTTTATCAATCCTTATCAATTTATTTGAAATGTTTTTTAAGAAGTATGATGTTCCTTTGTTTACTTGCCATTTTACTTGAATCAGTTACTAATGAATGAACCTCAGATTTAAACTCTGGACTGATTAAATGTATGAGATTAACTGTTTTATCATTTCAGGTGTAGATGTTATGGTACCTTTATTGTTTCAGCTAGCCCATAAAATGAATAATCTAGCTACATATATTGGAATCTGAGCTATGTATTTGACATATCAATACATCTTTGTATTCTTACGAAATGTTAAAAAAGTAAGTTTCTTACTTTTGACATAAAATACCATTTTTTCTGTGAGTTTAAAGGCATATCTTGTCACTTTCTTAAAAATAAAATTCAAATTTTTGAATTTAATGTAACATTAGTTTTTCATAGAATTTTTTCTTTAAAGAGACCAAAACTTAAATGCAAATTATACAGGTTTTTTTTTCCAAAAATTGTTTCATAACTACTTGAAATTAACTGACAAGAAACAATAATTTTACTAAATTCAAATTAATAAAACAAGACAGAAAAAAATGAAAACTAGAGATTGCATTAAGATAGAGAAGGTTATTATTCCCTTTTTTACAATTTTCAACTGTTGAGTATTTGCAATATTTATAAATTGTTTTAAAAAATGGCTCTTGCAATTTATTATTCTTATAGTTATGATATAACGTTGATAATCATGAAATTTTAGAAAGTACAGGAATTTAAGTTTTTTTCTCATAAAGCACACTTTGGTCATAGAATTTAAGTTTTCCATTATTGAACTAAAAAATAATAAAATAAAATTTGATAGTAACAAGATTATTGTTATAATTAATAACAATCTTAGGACTTCAAAAGATTGAAGTTCAAATAATGGTCAACAGTTTAACTTTCAAAAAAGAGTAACATTATTTAATCCATGCTAAAAAGACTAGTTAATTAGTGAAGAGCCAAGAATTCAACTCACTATTTTAATAACATAATTCTTAATTTCAAATTGAAAATTCTCAATATTATTGCTTAACAACTTATTATGCACTTCTTAAATATAAACAAAGTTTCGACACAACTTATATCCATGATGGATATTTATTCGGTGAATCATTAACTTGATAAAAATGTTTTCTACCTCAACAATTAGACAAGCATCTGAATCATTATTTACTTTAATAAAACAATGGTTTTAAAGTTTTTTTTTTAATGGCTTCTAAACACTGAACCCAATATATTACAGTAAATAACAAATTGTAAATAAGTGCATCAAATCCTTGGACCGGTCATCGACAAGAACCCGTGAATGACAAGCAGACTGCATACCAACTCTATCCGCCCACTCTGCTTATGCGTCACCCACGCACAAACATCGGCAATCAGAAATCATGGATGCTGCAATAACGTCTCATAGGCATCGTTACCAACTCTAATTTCTTAAAAAGTTTTCTATTTGTAGTCGCCTATTAGTTACACTAAATACGAAAATGAGAAAAGGTCAGCCATTATACGCGCACGCTATCCGAGTCGATAAACGGTGGCCATTCCAAATTAACGCCACGCGTTCATACACAACTCCAGAAAATATAATAAACGCAAAAAACAAACCTTGCCAATCAATTATCTTGTGAGGTTTTTAAGAAAATCCTTTGAAATCCAGGATACAACTGCGGAGTAACACTATTGCACCACTTCACACTGAATTCTTTCTGTGTATAAATTTCACTTATAGTAACAGAATCACTAAACACCACAAACGACGCCTAAAATCACAACATTATAACTACAAAAATATTCCTATCAATAACTACAGCCCGTTTTATGGATAAAAAAATTATCCCGTTTCACATAGGGACTCCACGACAAGAGCATCAGTCTTCGTACATCGCCGTGGAATGATTCGGTTTCGCTTTTCGAACGAGTCTAGGCGTGACTGACCCGAGAAGAACCGACAGTTGCCGATCTTAGCTTTTAATGTCTAAACTCTCCGCGAAAGGCAGCACTGAGCTGAAAAACGTTCAGAAATAGATGAACAAATAAAAATATTTATATCGTTATATAGTTTTGCATTTTATTAACATAAAAGTTACTAAAGATTCTGAATTCAAATAATGTAATACTAAAAATCCCTAATTTCTCATCGTCATTAAATATATATGAAATAAGACCAAAAGCATATTGTCTTTGGTCTTAAGGGTTGTTCACACAAAAGCTATAAAAGTTGTTATTAGAAACGTTTTTTTTACATTAAAGACATTAAATCAACTCATGAAACTGAACTCAAAGCTTTAGAGGGAAAATCGGAAAGATTAAACCTTTGATGTACGTATACGTATAAGCATAATGCATAGAGTGGTAATATTACAGTAATTACATTATTTAAACACACACTTTTTTTTCACATCAACATTGTTTCTATATAAATATAAATAGGTTCAAACAATTGAGACTAATATACAATTAAGTGTTTGAGGGGCGAAAGCAAAAAGGTATAAGTTCCCCCACAATTTGATTTCCTGCCCTCCAAAGATTCTTCCCGATTTTCCACCTACAGCTTCCAAAACCTTCCACATTTCAAATAATATCCTCAATCTAGAAACAATGATTTGTTTAATAACTAGTTAAAGCATTCTTAATAAAAAAAATGCTTAAGAAATCCATTTAATCCGAGGCCCCCCTATGATGGGATTCAAACCTGGAGGACTGACGAATCTTTCAAGTACTTGTTACTTTTGTGCTACTACAGAACGTATTCTTATCAATGTTTAGGAAATCCACCCAAACAGTCGAAAGAAATATTTTTACTTATATTTAAACTTTCGATAAAGATAATAATTTGTTCTTATTATTATATTTGATCAATTTCGCATTCAAAATGCTTTACTGAAAAATATTCTTAATGAAAAATATTTTTCAGTATAGCATTGTAAACGCGAAATTGATCAAATATAATCATTATAAAATATTATTCAGAGGCTCAAAGTTGTTCTTTGCTGTGCATGCGTCAGTTGAAAGAGACAATTTTTCCCTCCATCACAGATTTTAACAATTTAGATAAAAGGGGACAACGTTATTATTTGATAGCATGAAATGTATTTATGTAATATACCATCTGTAAGACAGAGTTTGGTGAATAATAATGCCAACTTCTTAGAGCTTATGGGTACGTACAGTACGGCGTTTGACCCATTTATTCTTTGATTTGATCTATCATAGCTTTAGATTTTTTGTGGATTAAATGATTATTTTATAATTTATATGTTTCATTCAGGAAAGAGACTCCATTAGTAAATTGTCTCCATTAGTAAATAGATGCAGCGAAAAAATATTAAATGAATTATCTTTCTTACTCTACAGTATACACTAGCTTTATGGTTCACAGACAGTCTCAACGAGCCTTTACTCTTCCATAGACAAGGAATTATAAGCAAGGCCAAGCTCGAATAGGAATAACAAAACATATCGGCCGAGAAAAATATTTAATAAGTCGTGTAAGTTTATAATACATTTATTAAATCTATGGTTGTACACAAAATACATTCATTAGAAAAGGACCGCATCATAGAGTTCAATCGAGACCGGACGAGACCATAGACAACAATATTGACAATTTGAGTCTAGGGATGCACGATACCACCTAGGTATCGATACTTTAACTGGATTCCCCAACGGTCACGACCTATTGATACTAGAGATGGGCAATGTGTTTCCACCTGGCGGGCTGATAAGGAAAAAATCCAGGTATTTTGGGAACAAATCTTATTTACCCGATAAAGCCCAATCTGAGGGCATAATAATTTTAATTGTCCAACGAAAAGTTATTTAAGAATTAAAGAATATATCTGTGATTTTAAAATTAACATTGAATAATTTTAAAGAAATTCGTTAATTTAAAGAATTATTTATATATTTTGTTTTATAACGTAGGTAAACTAATAATCAAACCAAAGTTATAATGCGAAGATTAAGCATCTTCCTATATAATTTCGAACTTATCAATTCTTTGAAAGCAATGTTATGGTGTCTCAAGATAACAACTGGAGTCGTTAACCCTCACAATTAGCACCGGACTTGCATGGTGGTAGTTAAACTAGCACAATCTCCGTTCGTGATTCTATAGATAGGGAAGGTCTTAGAGGATGCGTAAAGTATTTCTGTTCGGCGGAAGAAAAAGTATCACAGATGTGTTTTGGAAAAACAACTTATTTGTTTGAATGTATGAATAATAAATTGTTCAAGTAAAACTTATTGAAGAAATAAAATAAATATGGATAATAATTTGTTAAATATTTAATAGAAATAAACTTCTTAGTATTCTCATGATATTACCTCATAATCAACAACGTTTATATAATCAACATAAATAATTAACTTTTACTTAAAAAATAACAAGTGCATTATTCTGTTCATAATTCATATTCAATCACTGTCAGTATCTTACACATGTTCAATATTTATAAATTCCATGTCATTAGTTTCGCCTGAAATTGATGCTACCGTCCTATATCTTCTAATTCACATTCCGTGAGAGAAGATTATATCATTTTGCATATCATTTCGTGATATATCACCTGCTAAACTTATCGAGACGTCATTCACCATTGTCTTCTGTAAAACAAGTCTAACAAATTCTAATTATGTATATGATAAAAATGTTATCTTCGCTGCTCTTTCCGATGTGAGAGGATTTCTTTTTGCACAGTGTATAAAAGCCTGTGTACTGAACGACTTTTGTATTACTACATATGTACAGGATGCAGTCAAAACGTATTTGTCTGCTAGCTCGTGATAATGTCACCATATCTTTGGATTTTTTTGATCTAGATGAGTGCTAAAAGTAAATTATTTCTTTAATTTTAATTATTATTAAAAATTTCTTTGTCTTTAATTCAATGTACTGTTGAAAGTATAATTAATCAGAACGACATTTACAGGAGGGATTTAAAGCTTATTACGTGATAAATAGTCACATTAACGCTGTGTTTGCAAATTACTATTATTACACGACATTTATGTCTCTTAGACCAACATGGATCATAGGTACATAGTTTATCTACAGCAAATTTACTGAAAAAGAGCTAAACGACATAATGAAAAATAAAATTATCTTATGTACTTTGGTTAGTTCATAAGGCAATTTAATGTTTATTAGATGTTTAAAAAAATTCAAATAAATGATATATAAACGACTCGATATCACTATAATATAGTTTGGATCATTGCTTGAAAGTTATGTTTTAATCTATATATATATATCTATAAAACAGATATAAGAAACAATAAATGAGTGAAGTCATCTAACTAGAAAATAACAAAAATATCTTCAAACGGTTATATTACAATAGTTTCTTATTCGCTATATTCAACCAAGATACCTTAGCAAAATCCGTAAATAGTAAATTAAATGGCTGACTTAAGCAATAATACTTACACCTAACTTAGTATTAAATATACCAAAGTGAATTGGGCTATCAGAATAGTAACTACACGCGCGAGCGTCGGTTTCAACTCAGCTGACAAAGGATGCGTATTATGCAACAAAATGGCGTCCGTGTTGTGAGCGGAGTGCGTTCCTTCTCGTTAGCTAGCACACCTCATTGTTGGCTTATTTTTCTACCATTTCTGAAAAATACAGAACATAAATAAATAAGTGATTTATATAGTTTCCAACAAATACCTTGGGATGAAGACTGAAGTTCACGATATTTATTATTTATTTATTCATAATTCGTATTAATATTTATGTATTTTATTATATATATATATATATATATATATATATATATAATAAAATACTGGCTGGAATTAAGGGCGCTCATTGGGAAAACCCAATTCGCCCAAAACGCCCGCGCATTTTCTCACCACTGATTGATACCTACTCGATATCAAATGAAAAGTATTGATACCTACTTGTATCGAATCTTTTTAAAATGCTTACCTTCGTCACCATTTTTATAGCTTTTAGGTAAAATTTGATACTATTGATAGCTAATAATAATACTCTGTTTACGAGAGAAAGAGAAGCAGGTCTAGGCATAAAAGTGATACATATAGTTATTCAAAATTTTGTTCGCTTTATCCGTGGATAGATTTTTAACTACATAAAATTAGTAGGGGTTAGCAATGCTTTTTCATACGACAGGGACGCCGCGCCTTTGGGACTCTTTCATGAGACAGACTTTAGGCACCTTACCACAAAGTAAACAGTCTTATGTACGCGAGTTTTTGACTCTCCTTAGTGAGTGACTAACCAAGTGTCGATACAAATACTTGTTTCACGATATTACTTGTTACTCGGTTCTAAAGTATATTTACCAAAATACTTTATACTTTACCGGAGAAAAGTATCGTGTAAGTACTTGTATTTTGTCGTTTCGTAACATCCCTATTTGAGTCAAATCTGTCATAACTTAAGACATTTCTTCATTGAAAGAGTTTAAAAAATATTTTCTATTAATACATTAATAAATTGAAGACGGTAATAAAAATCATGGCTTTATCCATGATTAAATTATCTTCCGCCTTAGCAAATTCATCCAAGAATTTGCGATGTGTAGTCCGACTAGTGAACATTAACAATTTCTCCACTACCAACGTTGTAGTGGTAAGTTGCATAATCGTATAATAGAATACAAGATTCTTCACCTTTTAAACTGTTAGTATCTTAATACTAGTTCGTAAAATCTTTAGTTCTTTTGAGCTTGGTCGTTTACTTCAATTATCAATATTAACTGTAACATCATAAACCTATTTTTTGTGAAAGCACCTATTTAGTGGTTAATAACTAATATCAAAAAATTTGAGCTACTTTAATTGTTATATCTTTACAATCTACTTTATTATATTTAGTTACTCTCTATTCATAAATTATTAACATAACTAATTATGTGACTTGAATTAATCTGTTATTTGTTTAATAATTATTTAAGATTCACACCCATCAACAGTAATAATTTAACAATTTTTTAGATTACTAAAAAATTGATAAATTTAAGGTACTTTTAAAATGTATTGATATTTTTATCTAACTTAATTTGATATTGTTTATAATAGAATAAATAAAGATCTTATTCTTTTGTTATTTATATACAAAGTTGGACTGTAGTTAATTATTAAAAAAAAGTAAATAAATTTCATTCTACTTCAAAATTTTGAAACCTATATTTTTCCCACAAATAAATGCCACAAATTTTATGATAGCAAAAACTTGTGATTACAAATTTAAATGACATTCTAGTCTGGCCAAAGTCAAACCATTGACCGCAAAATGTACAAGCTTATCATTTAAAAATAATTATAATTATATTGATATTAAATAATTGCATTGCAAATTGTGATATGAAAACTGTAACAGCCTGCAGTTAGTTATAATGACAAATTAACTAAATAATCTCATGCTTAACAAAAGACAATTACATAGACCAAGAATATAAATACTTTTTTAACTAATTTAGCAAAATTTTACATATTATACTCTCACAATGTGACATCAATTGTTTTTGTAATAACATGAAAATTATATGAAAATTCAAAACATTTTTAATAGACTTTATTTTATATTTAACTAAAGTATGTAGGTACCATTTTGTTTGATAACTCTTTCTTGTAGGTAGGGACATGATCCCATTGCTTTAAAAATTAAGGGGTTTCTGATCTAAAAATGTGGTTTGGGAGTCCTTGAGTGTCGTTAACCTGACGCTTCCTGAAAAATTCTGAAGATACCGAAAAAGATGCATATGTGAAGGTGCAAGGTCACAACTACACAGAGGATACATTAACACCTCCCAGCCAAACTCTTGATTTTTGATGCAAAGATGTGTGAGGCCTAGTGTTATCATGATGAAAAAGCATACCCCTTCTATTGATTAATTCAGGCCGATTTCTCTCAACTCATTGCTTGAATTTCATCAGTTATTCGCAGTAAAGTTTAGAATTTATAAACCCGCCTCACGGTAATAGCTCATACGAATATTGTCTTTCCAATCCCACCATCACACAGCATCACCTTGTTGCGAGTTAACTCGGGTTTCGCCACAGTCTGAAACCGGACCAACAACAATTTGTTTATTTTTACCCTGGCAAATTTTCCCGGACAATCCTTACCGCCTGATGGGACTGCAGAGGGTGTGTGGGACTCTCGCCCTCTGAAAGCGGGGGCCTTTCCACTTAAAATCCTGGGTAAACCCTCTATTGGGAGTGGCACTCGGCGACCGAAGCGTATTCGCTGCACCAGCCACTCCCGTCCCACCAAAACCCCTACGGTGTACTCTCTCAGCAGCCACTCCCGTCCCACCAAAACTCTTACTGTGTACTATCATCAAAGCGACCTGGACCTGAGGAATGAGACCTAGGAGATCGTAAATCGAACCTGCAACCTCAATTATATTGCGACATTTTCAGACCAACATGCGAGTCACTCGGCTATAGAGGTTGATTTAGGGCCAGTTTTTTGATCCATAGTCAAATGTCATTTCACCATTTGTTAACTTGACTATAGTTAAAACATTAACAAGTTGTTAACTCGCTATTTCGTTTTTTGATGCCAAATTAAACCATTTATGACATTAGGATTTTTTTCCAAATATCAAATAGACGAAAGAAATCTATAGGATTATCAAACAATGTGGATGTTTATGGTTGTTTTGTTGTGTGCACTATGTGTTATTTTTCAAGAAATATAAGGCAATTTCTTTAATAATGTTAGAAAGCAACAAAGAAATTTTTTTCCAGTTATTTTAAACTTAACTTTTTATAAAAATTTAAATACCTAAAAAATAATAATTTGATTTTCATTTATCTTATAGAGAAATACATGAAAAGAATATAGTATCTAGTATCCAAGGTGGGATTGTAATGTTGGAAAATAAATCGAGGACTATGTTTTTTATGTACTGTAGGCATATTTAACTTTTGTATTGTCTGTTCGTGGATTTTATAAGATTTTTAATAATTAAATAATTTGGCATATGCCCATGGCAACAAGAAAAAATATTTTATATAGTACAAATATACTAAGGATGATCAAGATAAAAATATAACTCATTTTCGATAACCTTATAGCCCAAAAATGACAATGACTATTTTCCTATGAAATTGCATCATTAAATGAAATCCCAAAAATAGCTAATGTCCAAATTCACTATGAAATTATGTAGGTTATAAAAACAACGTAAAAAACAATAACAAGGGGCCAAGTAAATACAACGCAGTTGTACGTCTGTTCTTTTAACCATTGGTCAACCTAGCTTCCAGTGATGGTTCAATTTTTTGACAAATGGTTGTAATTCTGACAATTGGTTAGGCTAACTATTAATCAAAAAACATATTTTTCTGATATTTAACCATTTGTCAAAGATTTTAACAAATGGTTGAGTTAACCACGGATCAAAAAACTGGCCCTTACTCTACTCACATTTACCCACCACCAAGACCCAGATAAATTTCAAATTTCCATACAGTATGAATTTCCTAAATTAAGGTTTTCATGAACAAGAAGATGAAGTTTATTGGATTAACAAAACCAGGAATAGATTTTGGGGTTTTAATAATGAGGTAGACATTCTTCTGTGGGGTTGAGCTCGCGTCATCCCTGATTCTTTCCTCCCTCTTAAGGCTAATCTGCAGCGTGTTTTTTTTGAGGTAGGCCAACCACAGTGATCTCGCCTCTTACATAGACGGTTGCAGAGCCTGATTAGGCATACCGTATATGCCTCAAATTAGGCTCTGCAACCGCCTATGTAAGAGGCGAGATCAGTTGTCCTTTGCGTTAACAAAATATAAGTTAGCTATACAGCTTAATGACATTCTCAAATCTCATATTAAGTAATAGTACTACACCCAACTCCAAAAGATCGGTTGTGTCCGAAAATTTAACCCACCTCAGAAGTTGCGATCAAAAATTGTTTTGTAACATTAAAAATAAAATTAATAAATATGACTCTCACATGACGAAGTACCTGTTAATTATGTAAATTATTTCAAATCAACTCGTAACGTCTAAGCGATAACGCGTGGTGGTCTTAACCGCATCAGTACACCCACTGGTATTGGTGCGAGCGGTCGACTAGGTGATAATAAAAGTACCTATATAAAAAGCGCGAAACTAATTTGTGCACTCGGTGACCGGTTACCGGTCTTTCTTTGCCTCCCATTGGCCTGACGTGGCTCTAAACTCGTTTTGCTTTCATTTGCCGCTCTAAAATAAACAGTTACACACTGTGACCGTATTATTTATCGTACACTATTTTAAAGCTGTTCAAATATTTTTATTTTACGAGTGAATTATTAGGCATCGTGTTTTATTTTTATATAAATAATAATGTCTTGTCCGAAGTGCGGCGATGTCAATACATCTGTTAAAATGGTAAGTAGCCTTCTGTTTGAGTTCCATTCGCCGTCATTATGTCTTTTTTTGCGAAACGTTTATACAATTTTATAAATGTAAAAATGTATTATACTATATACTTCTACATTTTTTGTTTACTTGTATGTCGTATGCACGATCTGCTTATTATAATAACCCAGAAATATACGAAATAATCACTATTTTGTATATTTCTGGGTTGCTTGGTAGAAATCCCTGGTAATGGGGCCGCCTGTTGTACGATGTAATAATGATCTCTTTTATAAAGTTATAAACTTTTTATGTGCATATTATGTAATAAAGTTATAAATTTATTAACAAACATTTTATTAACAAATTAAAAACTTTTTGAGAATATAAATAAAAAATCAGAAGAAATAAGTTTTGAATGAAAGCTTTTTAAATTTATTTCTTCTGCTTTTTTCCGATAGCTAATTTTCTTATGTTTGAAATAGAGGTACTTAGTTAAAATTACCAATAAATGGTGCTACCTAAAACGGCATTTATTAGAGATGCGCCGAATACTCGTTTGATATTCGGTTTTCGTCGAATTCGGCATCTTTTCACTTTTTGGTGCCGAATATATTTAGTTCGAGTACTTATATATTCTAAGCTATACAACACGATATAGAACTAAAAGACAAAACTTATTTTGTAAGATTTATGTTATATTAAAAGTCAAAAAATCCTATGAAATCATAAATATTTATTTTGTGAACTATACTTAATATTTTTAACATTATTTTGCTTTATATAAAAAACCAGAAGAAATAAGTTTTGAATGAAAGCTTGTTAAATCTACTACTTATCTAAATTATGTCTTAAAATAATAACTATACTAAATAAAAAATGTCTCCCAGATCATTGCCAAAAGGTAAAGGTACCCACAAGGTTAATTAAATACATTGAAGGGACAAATTGAGAAAAATAGACACTATAATATAGATATACCTATAGAGACAGACACATTGAAAATATAATAGAGATCCGAGGTACAATAAAAGATAAGCAAACAACCATACATATTCTAATGTTTATAATTATAAACATTGGGTTCGGTTAAGCTAAAACCGAATATTATTAGGATATTCAGTGAAACCACTATTCGGCGCATCTCTAGAATTTATCTTATTAATTGTCAGAAAAATAAGATTGCTCCTTATCACGGTTATATTCTATTAAATATTTAGTTATTCAACCTTATCATCGACTATATTTTACCGAAGTTTTGTTATGTTATTCTCTCTTTATTAACTCAAAGAAACTAGCATAGTATATAACGATAACGTATATAATTTTTAGCGATAAAAACAACAGTTTAAAATAAAACACAACTTCTTTTAACCTCCTTTTTTATAAGAATGTACATTAAGACTACATTATATTTGACTATTACGAATAACTTTTTGTACTCCTCTACAACAAATAGCATTTGAAAATGGCGGATAACAATGACAATTGTTCGCTTTCACTTATCCGTATAGGCCCGGATCTACAAATTTTTCCAACCGGAACAGAAACATAATATTGCGCCCTCACACTAAAATTTAGGCTATTCATCATTTAATTACTTATTTGTTATATTTTGAACTGTATTTATATTAACATGAATATCTGAAGCCCGGGGCGCATGCCCCCCTTGGCCCCCCCAGATTCGGCCCTGTATCCATATATCAAATTTCATCAAAATCCATCCAGTAGTTTTTGCGTGAAAGAGTAACGAACACCCATACATCCCCACAAACTCGCATTTATAATATTTTTAAGATTATTTTCCTTGTCTATTACTTATCGATGTCTTTTAACCCGTAGTTTAACATCTTTGTTAATATTTACAGTAGCTCTTATCATATCGTAAGTAATCTTATATAGTAAAGGTCTCGAACTCGAATTATCACATAAACAACTCCCTAGTTTGGTCTGAAGTCGATATTTCCTTTTTAATATTATCGTCTTTGTATTTTTTTTTTATTTGAGCGAAAGAGAGGTTAACTCTCAGTTTCCGCACACAATGATATATTATTTTGTATTCTGTAGAAATACCTAAAACCAGAACGTAAAAGAAGAGTAACTTAGTGGCGTAGGGGATAAACGTCGGGACATGCGATTGTTGTTGTTAAGCACGACTTCCAAGGGTCGGTCAGGGGATGGGTAACTAAAAATTATTATCTCTAGTTGCTTCGTGCTTCGGAAGGCACGTTAAACCGTTGGTCTCGGCTACATTTGCAATCGTTAATACCCTCCAACCCGCATCGAGCCAGCGTGGAGGGTCGTGGCCCATCTTCCTTAACCATTCATAAGGAACGCCTGAGCCCCTGCAGTGGAGACGTCCAAGGACAGATGATGATGTTTCTGTAGAAATACCTGCAGCATCTAACACAGCATCAAATAAAACTTTTATTACCTTTAGTTGTAGATCACAATTGATCGACCCTAATACTATGACAGACGCTGCGTTCAAGCTTGTTCAAGGCTCACATGATGTAAGAAATTATTGTTTTCAATGAGATCTTTGATAACACGATTACTTATTTTATTTTCAGCGTAAGGAAAGAGACACGTTTGGCGAATTAGATGTACCAGATGACAGATTCTATGGAGCCCAGACAGTTAGGTCTGTCATGAACTTCCCCATCGGTGGCATTGAAGAGAGGATGCCGGTGAGTAACAGTCTAATTAAGAAATCATATAAATACTAAAGCAATGTCTTGGTTTGATCCAAAATTAGATTAAAATTTTGTGTTATTGAAATACGAAATTACGATACTTACTAAAAAAACGCCTGGACTTAGAAAATATAATTATTTTCACTTTATTGATCCGTCTGGGAATCGGGACTTCAAAGACTAGCAACACGGAAACTGGGGGCGTCGCCACCATTTATCTATTAAAATACTGTCTAAATAGATATACCATATAGGTAGATGTAATGTATATACTTTGTAATGTTTATAAATGTATATGCCTAGGGTTGCCAGATCGCCAAACCTAATAGCCGGACAAACCAGCCAGCTTAGCCAGACATTGAAAATTGTTTAACTAAGCTGTCTGTTTATCCACCATAAACTTGAATAAAATATTTATTTCGAGCCACTTTTATGTTTCAAACGTAAAAAGCCTAACAGACCGGGCATCATTTATTTTGGCCGGACACGCAATCAAACCTACTATGTGCACAGAGATAATGTAAGATTTTGTTAATAGTTAGTGAAGTTGGCTTTATGAATGCAATCCTTTAACCGACAGTTGAAAATACGTCCATTAAAACTGTCAATAGTTTAAAGCGACATTACTGATACAAATTTTGAAAATTCTTGAGAACTTAAAATCGTAATTAAAGCTTAAACATCATTTGTCCAATAAATAAAACACTTAAAATATTACTACAATTTAAAAAAATTTGACGCTCGATTATTTCTAAATATTGTAATGACTTTTGCTCACGAGTTTGTATACATGTACCGATATTACTCAACTTTGATCAAATTACAATTCCTTTTTTCAATTCAAATAGTACGGTGCGACTTTCACTCATGTCGTATCAGGTCGTGTTAGAATAACAAAGCATTGTGTACAAAATAACTGTCCGTGTCCATGCAATTTCAAAATACTTTCGATTGTCCGACGGGACTTCAATTTAAGGCACAAATCTAAATTATAGACGTTCACCACTGAACGTATGAAAAAAATCCTAATCTATATAATTTATATAAAAATTAGAAAGTATAGTTATTAATCAAATGATAGGCGCCTGAGTTCTATAACAATTTCTTGAATAAGTAGCTTTTAAGATAAGTATTTTTTATCATATTTTTAAAGTTTGTAGCCGGTTCTATTTTTTTTTAAGTTTTTTTAAACACTACAAAGTGATACTACAAATATCAATTATCTAGGTATATAAATAAATTTATTCAACATATTGAAAGTCTTAGAAAAGAAGATTAATACATAACTTATTCCAATTATTCTATTCTCACATTTTAAAAGAGGAAATATTGGATTGCTTGTTTTTTTTTTATGAGAAGTCACTTGATACACGTTTTACTATAATTTATGCAGGCGAAGTCGCGGGGAAACAACTAGTTTGATAGAAATCGGTTCACAAATCAAGATAAAATCGATTAACCTACTTTCATAAAAAAATATACATACTCCTTAAACATAGAAAATTTCACCTTTCGGATTTTGAATGAATTCCAAATATGCAATCTTTTGTTTTTTGGTTGAAATGGGTAATGTCTTACCATATGAACTAAATATTTGGATGATATTCGTTCGAAAGCGTATTTTGTTTTGTTTTAAAAGGAAAACTACTGATTCGATTTGGATGAAATTTTAATGGGATCACCTCAGTCCATTAAGCTGTCAAATAAAATATTGAAAATCAGTCGACAAGGAGGAAGTATTTAAAATAAACATTAGTTACCGAAATTAAACTAGATGTCGCTACGGTACTTTCTTGATTTCTCCATGACAACCCTTCCGGTTTTTTTTCATGTATAAAACTAAATTAGTTTTCAAAACTCAATAAACAACTCATATACATACTATTTCAAATTTTTCGTATTTGTATTGATATCAAAATTTCGAACTTTGCAACTTTCAGTTTTTTAATATGTTAGTTAAAAAGAACGGAAATTACTATCTTAATTGGTTCATTCTTTTTCTGCAAAATTCTACTTTGCTAGAGTCATCTTCTAGTGTAGGTGCTTTTTTGGTGCTTTCTTTTTATTTTTAAATACTTCCTGAACATAATAACCTCCTCCTTTTGAATTTTAAAGTCGGTTAAAAATTGGTAGCTACTTGTATACTTTACTTAGTTTTGTTGTACAATTTAGATATAATCTATTTCAAACATACTCATTGCGGATATAAATCATGAGTTACACTTAAATGATGTAAAGAGTTGATGACACCCCGTCTTCACAGTCGTACTCTATTTATTTATATACTTACATAAGTTATCGTTGTTTTTATCTCCAGTGATTTACTCGTGTTGAAGAAGTTACATTAATAAAAAAATTTAAATATAATCATACGATGAAAAACAGCTGAACATAAGCATTTTGTGATATAAACAGCTAATTGCAAAAACGTCCATTGAAATTGGCATTGGTTTAAAGCGCCTACCTACCGATAAAAATTTGGCATTCATTAGAGCTGTAAGGCTACATTAAACCTTAATGCATTTTTGTGCAACTAACCGAAAGAAAAGCAAATTTTTTTAATATTCGTTAAAATGATTTTGTCTACCTTAGATGCGTTACCACAGTCATTTTAAACCCCCTCTTCTATACTAATATGAAGTTTATATATTTTTACATTCAAATTTCTTCGGAGGAACAAAGTTCGCCGGGCTTACTAGTTTTTTGCATTGAATAAGCTCCGGAACAACTGAATCGATTTTTAAATTCTTTCGTTTACGATACGTTACATCATACCTACAAGGTTGACATAGGCTATAATATAATTTACTCGATTTAATTAAAGCTCGTAATAAAGAAAATAATCAGAAAAACACATCTTTAAAAACAAAAGAATTAATAAACCTCTTATAATAATAACAGCACGAAAATTACTGTAGATATGTATACGACACATTATAAGCAGCTTACATGACTACTTAAAATGTGATGAAGCTATACTTTGATTGGATAACTATGATAATTTTCAAGTCGCTGCGTTTATGTGAATTCAACTTTATAAAACCAACTATTTTGTTACAGTATCCGGTGATCGTGGCGTTTGGCATCCTGAAAAAAGCTGCCGCCAAAGTGAACGTTGAATATGGCCTTGACAAGAAAATCGGTAATTCGATCGATATTTAATATTACTATTATTTATCGTTATCATCTTACCTATTCGTATCATAGTGACATAATATTCTATGATCATTATTTGTATTTTTATAAGCGAAGGCAAATATGTTTCCATTATCAGAATATTTGTTTTTTCTCTCTACACATGTCGTAAGTTCGATAAATTACATTTTATATTCCATTGGATGGATTCTTATTTATTTATAACGGCGGATTCTTAATTTCACACAGTTTAATTAATAAAAAGGTTTAGTGTCGTAGTAAATTTATAATAAAATTGCATTTATTAATAATTAAAACTCATATTATTAAGCAGAGACTACGAAAAAAAATTTCCTAGGAGTAAATATTGTTACCTTATTAATCTGTTATTGGGTTCAATTTTGTTTAGTCTCTGTTTTGACTAATTTTATGTCAAATATTAGCTTAAATGTACTCTGATACTAGTTATGCCCGTTTTCACTAAACTTAGGAGTCGCCCAAATCTATTCTTAAATATTTAGGAATCACCTCATGATATTAAGCAACGACTAAAGTTATGACTAAGGAATGCAATCTCGTTCTCGCGAGATCTTTTTTAACGAGATTGATCTCGGTCGAAAAATGGGAGACATCTCGCGAATTTAACGAGATTGCACTCGTGCATAAAATCGATTTATTCTAAGTGCAGCAGCGCGAATTTATATAAGTCCGGGAGGTTAAAAGGCGTAGTTTTACATTTTTACAGTACTTGTCGTATTAGCAGAGAAGACTGGTACTCGGAGAGAGGGGCAAGGTTTCACCAGAATCGTCTCTTTGGGAGTGACCAAAAGAAGTTTTACCGTACATGGGAGACACGAGCTGGCCCCTCCACTGGCCAAGGACCGAATGTCACAGATGTCATTGCCTTTTGGCGGAACATCTGGTCCCGGCCTGTGGAGCACATAGAGGGCGAATGGATGGCGCCTATAGAGGAAGCGTGTGCATCGATAGATGCGATGAACCCCATCATCATAGAGTCAGATGACGTGTTGGCTGCGGTCCGTAAAGCTCCGAACTGGAAAACTCCAGGGATTGACGGACTGCACCACTACTGGTTGAAGAGTTTCCGCTCATGCCGCGCATTCCTGGCCCGCCAATTCCAAGACGCCCTAGAACAGCGAAGTCTCCCAAACTTCTTAACAACTGGGGTCACTCACTTAGCTCCAAAGTCCACCAATACCGCGGATCCGTCACAATACCGACCCATAACGTGCTTGTGTACCACCTACAAAGCACTGACATTCATTCTAAAGGCTAAGATTGATGTTCACGTTGAGCACAATCATATCATGGTGGACACTCAGAATGGTTGCAGGGGCGGGAGCCGCGGTTCAAAGGAGCTTCTCCTGATCGATGCGGTCGTGGCCCAACAGGTCAAATGCAACCGACGCAACTTCTCTGCAGCCTGGATAGACTACAAAAAAGCGTTTGACTCGGTTCCCCATACGTGGTTGAAGAGGGTCCTCGAGCTGTACAAGATTGATAGTACAGTTCGAAACTTCCTCGAGACCTGTATGGGGCAGTGGAGTACGCAGCTTAGTCTGTTCGGGGTGCAGCTGTCGGATGCGGAAGACCGAATAAAGATTGAGAGGGGTATATTCCAGGGCGATTGTCTGAGTCCACTTCGGTTTTGCCTGTCCCTAAATCCGCTTAGCACTTTGCTTGATAAACCAGGGACAGGTTTTCAGTTGAAGAGAGGATTGTTCAAAATATCTCACCTCTTCTACATGGATGATCTCAAGTTGCTTGCCCCAAATGCTCAGAGGCTGGCAGAGTTGCTGAAAATCACAAAGGATTTCAGTAGCTCTATCAGCATGGAGTTTGGGCTGGATAAGTGTGCGGTTATCCATGTAGATAGAGGTCGGATAAGTGATTCCACCCAAGTGGACCTACCGGATGGATCCACCATCCGTACCCTCTCCGAAACTAATACATACCGGTATCTGGGTATGTTACAGAATCTAGGTGTTCATATGACGGACGTGAAACAATCCGTCAAAGAGGCCTTTTTGGGACGCCTGACTCCTTAGTCAGATGCTTGATTATGATTTAGATGCTTGAAAGCTACCTGTCAGGCGTCAACAAAGTCAGGGCCATTAACGGTTGGGTCATGCCAGTCCTAATGAACACCTTTGGCATACTCAGATGGACTCAGACCGAATTGGACGCCCTGGATCGGAAAGTCCGCACAACTTTGACACTTCATAGGATGCACCACCCGAGATCGTCAGTGATGAGGCTGTATATCCCGAGGAAGAGCGGCGGTCGTGGGCTGCTCAGTGCGAAAACCCTGCACAACCGCGAGATACACAGTCTCCGTAATTACTTCCTGGCGAAATCGGAATCCAGTAAGTTGCATAGAGATGTCAAAGCATGTGATATAGGACTAACCCCTCTCTCTTTGGCCACCGAGCAATGGCGAGAACCAGCAGTACTTAGCACCACTGACCGACACGGCTGCGCTTCGGGGACCTCTTTGGGGAAACCGAAGGTTTTGTCTGTGCAATACAGGACCAGGTCTTTATGACCCGAAACTATCGGAAGTATATCCTGAAGGATGGGACAGGGGACGTTTGTAGAGCCTGTCACCAGCCCGGTGAGTCACTCAGGCATATTACTTCCGGTTGTCCTGTACTGGCTAATACCGAGTATTTGCACAGACATGACCAAGTAGTCAAAATACTCCATCTCGAGCTAGCCTTCAAATACGGCCTCATAGGCGAAAAGGTGCCGTACTATCAGTATGTGCCGGAGCAAGTTCTTGAAAACGACCGCGCTCGATTGTACTGGGACCGGTCCGTCATTACAGACAGGACTGTTCCTGCGAACAAGCCTGATATCGTACTGATGGACCGGGCGGAATCTCGGGCGTTCTTAGTGGACGTCACCGTCCCATGCGATGAAAACCCCGTGAAAGCCGAATCAGATAAAAAACTTAAATATCTGAACCTGGCGCACGAAGTTACCGATATGTGGCGAGTGTCATCCACTGAGATCATCCCAGTCGTAGTGTCAACGAATGGCCTAGTCCCGACTTCTCTTTACGACCATCTGAAGAGGTTGGGACTCCGTGACGGACCAATGATTGCGAGGCTCCAGCGGGCGATCTTGCTCGATAACGCAAGGATCGTCCGCCGTTTTCTCTCTTTGTCGCCCTGACCCCCGGCCATCTGGCCTCCTCTGCCGAGGGGAATCCTCCCACCCCTCGAATCGTCGAGGGGTCGGGAAGAGTAAATTACGGATACAGGAATAATAATAATATAAATATAAGTCTTATACGGTGCTTTGCGTTAGGAATTTGAATAATATGAAAGATCGCAAATCTCAAGTCAAGACATAAAAGTGTTTATTTGAAATTAAACTTATCTGTTTAGTTTATACGTAAGATTATAGGTTTTTGATAAACAGAAATTTAATTATTCTTCTAACTCCCTTCTTTCATCAACATTTTGGAAGATTTTTCGCTCCCAAAAAATATCACCTAACCAACTTTTTTTTTAGCGGATGCCATTATGCAAGCTTGTGACGATGTGATCTCTGGCAAGTTGTACAATGAAGGACACTTTCCGTTGGTGATTTGGCAGACCGGATCTGGTACACAATCAAATATGAACACGAATGAGGTAAATATAAGATTTACATTCGAAATATAAGCAGTGATAATATATAAAATAAATATTAGGCTCGCACATTTTGTTGTTTTAAACTTTCATGGATCTTTAATATCAGAATGATTGATATCAGGAACTTGTGAAATATAAAGTATACAGTAGCAATTCTTATCACTCAGATTCCAAGATGAGTAGCTAAAGCACTCGTATTATGGAGCATTTGACACAACCAGGGGCGGATCATGAATTTGTGGGGCCCTAGGCTAATTCTAATCAGGGGCCTATTAATTAGCGAATGTATAATTGTTAAGAAACTGTCTTCAATAGTACCTAATATAAAATTAACGTACTGTATATTGCTTTGTTTTATTTATTGGGGGTTGAGGACCCTTAGTGTTCTCGGGGCTCTAGGCTTAAGCCCGTTAAGCCCTTAGGTAGATCCGCCCCTGGACACAACCAAGGAACCACAAAAACCGAACCAGAGACAATGTATGGTTATGAATTAAATCGTTTGACTAAATTTGACAGTTGTAAATTAACTTTTAAATAATAAAATAAATAATGAACAATTATTTTTTTTTTGGATATATATAGCGTGTAATAGAAAATTAAAACGTTGTCATAACCATGACTATAGTTATAACGAGATAATTATATGAGAGGCTAATCCAGTTTATTTTTCAATCAAATTTCTGCTATTTTGTGATCAATTTAGGGTGCAATGTGATATTAACTGGGTAAAATTTTCCACAGGTCATATCTAACCGTGCTATCCAAATCTTAGGCGGCAAGTTGGGTAGCAAAGATCCAGTTCATCCGAACGACCACGTGAACAAATCACAGAGCTCTAACGACACTTATCCGACTGCTATGCATATAGCGGTCGCTATGGAATTGAGAGATAGACTAATGCCAGGTCTGGTCGCCCTTAGGGACACTCTAAATGCTAAGGCTAAGGATTTCGAGAAGATCATCAAGATTGGCAGGTAAGTTAACTTATATTATCGTGAAAATATAAGAAAACGCCGTTTTAGATTGTACTAAAATTTAACAATGTTGATGATTGTCAATTATCATGTACCAGGGTTCGTAATTATCAGGATAATATATTTTTGGATTATTATCATGATAATTATCCCTTTAATATCTGATAATTATCCATAGTTACTAGCAACAATCTTTAAAATACAGAAAGGCATGCACAATGGAATAAACTTTGAATTTTGTTGTTATACATAACCTATAAAAGTTAGAAAAAAAAACCGTGAAATGACATTGAATTATTTAAAAAAAATATGTTGTAAAGGGTGTTTCTAATATTTTTTTCGTTGTTGTAGGTCCATCCTAAACAATTTTATTTATCAAAAAAACATATTTGATACATTTTATTATGATAAAAACCATAATAAAAAGTATAAAAAGAGTTTGTGTAGTGTTCTATAATTATCTCGATAATCACTCTGAACCTTGCTCAGAATCCTTTTGATGAGATGATGATGGTAAAAATCTTGTCTCAGAACCCATCTGATGGACGCGGTGCCGCTAACGCTCGGCCAGGAGTTCAGCGGCTACAGCGCTCAGCTGACGTACGGCATCGAGCGCGTTTGCGCTACATTACCCCGGTTACACTATCTAGCGCTAGGTGGCACCGCTGTCGGCACCGGACTCAACACTCGCATCGGATTCGCTGAGAAGTGCGCCGCTGAAATCTCCAGTCTTACCGGTGAGTTCATTTCTATTAAAAAATTGACACGACTGTTTTGGGAAAATTATTTTAGAACTTTCATATGATCATATTAAAACTATCAGCTTAATATTTCAACAAAAAGAGTCGTTAAAGAAAGGTAAAACTCACTTTTATTACATTAGCTTTTCTTTGCGCCAGCGGTATCGCCAGCATGGTCCCTAGGGAACTGTTTAGCGGGATATACTAATTGACAAATTGAATAGTATACAATGGTTACTATGGTAATGTCTTAATTCCATACACTCCCATTTTCTTTCCTTTATTTGCTGTTTTTCGTGATAAAACATGGCCTGTATTCACCGCATATGATGCACTGCATATGATATTTTTTTAAATCGGTCCAGTAGTTTCGGAGCCTATTCGTTGCAAACAAACAAACAATAAAATTTATTTCCTCTTTATAATGTTAGTAAAGAATATATATTTTAATAATTTCATTAATTTAAATTTCTCCGCAAAACAAACAGTCAAGTGACATTTCGAACCGTCAATATATATACTGGTTGCACTGGCAACTTTAGTTTATTGAAATGTGACGTCACACTATGCTTCGTCATGGCCACCCGCGTTTCGGTTTTTGTAACCCATATATTATAAATCGCAAGTTAATACTGCAAAAATAAAATTTGTTTACAATTTATTTTAAAACAAAAAATCCAACATATTTCATAATTTATACATCTTCGAATGAAGCGACTAATATAATAAAGATAAAGCTTCTTGAAGTGATCAGATAGTTTCTGTTATCTGTTATGAAATGAAATATAATTACACCCGTGGATACTAGAATATAATTATTTAACTTCTGTTATCTTAGTTAATGACAGTTTTGGAAATGCATCTAGAAAGAGTTAAGACATCTATGCAGTATTTAACTTGATCATTTTATTATTTTGGCTCTGCATTGAATCTTTTTTGCTAGGTATAAGGTACACACAGCGGCTCATCAGGTTATTCTGTTGACTGTACATCTTATACTATCTTTAATAATAATAATAATAGAAGTATGGGAAGTTAACACAAATGTTTGGTTATTTAATAAAGGAATACCATTCGAGACTGCGCCTAACAAGTTCGAAGCTCTCGCATCGCACGACGCAATGGTGGAAGTGTCTGGTGCACTCAATACAATAGCTTGTTCGCTGATGAAGATCGCCAACGATATCAGGTTCTTAGCATCAGGTCCCCGATGCGGTCTCGGTGAACTGATGTTGCCTGAGAACGAACCAGGATCCTCAATAATGCCGGGTAAGTGACATATTACAGGCCCGGATCTACGATTTTTTGTAGGCAGCAGGAGCAGAAACTTCGTATGGCGCCCTTCCTTTACCTCCCCCCCCTCCACGCTCCATGAAAACCATATATGAGCCTATCGTATGTATGACACTCGTTTTTTTTAACGGTAAAAAAGTCCGCGATGATATATCAAATAGTATCCCCTTGGATATAATAACCATTTTTGCTTTTAAATGTGGCAATAAAATTATGGGTTATTTACGAATTTATTTTTAATAATACCAGTATTAATCCTTATTAAATTAAACGTTATGCATCTAATGTCGATCAAAATTGCCTTTTACACTATATGAAAAAAAAAACGATTATCTAATAAGTTATATCAAAATAAAAAATGAATCTCTATTTCCCTTGGTCACATCACCACACGTGAACGACTGGACTTCTTTTTTCTTGTGTTTGTTTGTGTTGTTCTTATCAAAGAAAAAAATAAGAAAATTGTGTGGAAAATTTTTAAATATTTTACCATAACATAAAATTATTTCTAATCTAACCTTATTACTTTGGATAATATAAACTTTTTTAATGTAACCTTATGACTTCCTGCAAATGTCAGCAAATAGTATATAATAAAAAAACTGAATATCGTTGAAAATTTATGTCTCGGTCGGAGTTAAAGCCAGTACGAAGTTCGCCGGGTCAGTTAAATTAAATATATACCTGTACAGATTTATTAAAAATTCGTTACCGAATACGAAAACTGCTGACCGCTTGTCACAATATGAGTAACATCTGTGTGAACTCGGTACAAACAGTGATTCTATCAACAGGCTAGTGTAGATAGAATACAATATGAATACTACTATGATAATATAAATTGTTATACCTATCTATATATAAATCAATTGCTGTTCGTTTGTCTCTCTTACTTGATAATGGTTGGGACAATTTAGCTGATTTAGATTTTGTGAAATGTTTTTCGTAGTCCATGGAAAGTTTAAACAGTGAGAGTTGACAAATAATATCATATATTTCTTTGTACAGTCGAAATTAGTTTACTACGAAATGCTGATTTCTCCAATCTATTTAATCCTTGATATATTGATGATTAAGTTTAAAATTGCAAAAAAAATTGCCTTTTGTAAGTTCAACCGCCTAAAATCGGTTCCAAATATTTTTTATTATTAATAAAAACTTTGTTTCATAGGTAAGGTGAATCCGACACAATGCGAATCATTGACTATGATCGCCGCTCAGGTGATGGGCAATCACGTGGCATGTACAGTCGGTGGCAGCAACGGACACTTTGAACTGAATGTATTCAAACCTATGATGGTCGCCAACGTATTGCGTTCCATTAGACTTATAGGTTAGTATGACTTCAGATACTACACCGGGTACGAAAGTAAACCCTGTTCAGAATACATAAAAAGGTATCTTACCCAAAGCAACAGTGTCTGGTGTCATCCCGCGCCTGATATTTCCCTACTAATTTACTTCCCACCATTTGCAAATGCAGTTTTTCATAGATTTAAAATCCGGATTCGCTGATTAATATCGACGGATATATATTTTGATTGAAATATTGTAAGTTTGAGTATTGAGTATTCACATGTGACGTGACGCTAGCAACATTGGCAATCTTACTATAAATATCGTGTTTTCATCTAAACGTTACTGGAAATCCTCGCTAGCATACTACTTTTTAATTATTTTCATATTTAATTTTTATTAAATTGTACTTTCGATTTAAAAGATCAAGTATTAAATAAAGCTACTGACGGCTCAAATATCGGATATTTTGATATTTATTAGAAATATCAGATCTTTCCGAACCCTATTCAAAATTCAAGTATAGTAACAAATCACTTTAGATCTTGAGTATACTTTCAAGATCTAAAGATCTTTTTTTTTGGTTTGCAAATAATATTCATTAATTAATAAGTGTTTTACGTTTTTAATTTTTACCCCGATTATACCTGCGCAGTGGACGCCGAACGCCGAACGAAAGTAAACCTAATATGGATTAGGTTTACTTTCGTACTTTCTTTTCTTTACATACACACGAATCCTTAGAAAACGTCATCTTCCAAACAATAGGGAATATTATGCAATGCTCATTGTAGATGACAGCACGATCGCATGCAGTAAACTTTGGAAATGAGTGATTCCCTTCCTTCTTACATCTAATATGCATTCATCATTATCAGCCCTTTTACGTTCCCACTGCAGGGGCTCGGGCCATCCTTAAGGATGGTTAAGGAGGATGGGCCATGACCTTCCACGCTGGCTCGATGCGGATTGGAGGGTATTAACGACTGCAAATGCAGCCGGGACCAACGGCTTAATTTTATTTTCGGTCACCCATCCTAAGACCTGCGAAAGTTGCTTAACAACAACGATCACATCAAATGACACTCCTAATTACAAATTCATAAAATTTGGAACTCCTAGTGTCTTCGGTATTACTTTACAACACCTTACCTAGACTTGTATTGTGACTAGAATTAGAAAAAAATATTTCTTATTATATAAATGAACATCAGGTTCGATTTTGAAACTTAGAAATTAGGATTTTATCCTTGTTTTTTATTTATTTATTTAAATCTCGACATGGGTTGCCTATAAGAGTTTGGTGCTTAGTATTAAGGCCGCCTTTTGTTTTCTTCCTTCTTACCTTCCTTTTTCGTGTAGTGCAATAAATAATACTATTATTATTTAATATACCTGTACGTGTTCTTCAGGCGACGGCTGCCAAGCATTCAATAAGAATTGCGCGGTAGGCATCAAGGCCAATAATGAGAGGATCGCTAAGATCATGCGTGAATCGCTCATGCTGGTCACCGCACTCAACCCACACATCGGTTACGATAAGGTAACAATTTAATAATTATTTATTGTAAATGACGAAATTAATTACAGGTTTCCTCTGCCTGGTAGAAACTTGACAACTTTTGAAACTTTTTCGTCATAAAATACTTGACATAATTTTATTTTGATTAATACTCATATAGCGTAAACATTATTAAACATAATTATCGATTAGCCGAATGTTTGAATTTACGGTTAGATGACGGAGTTTCTTTTAGCATAAATTAATTTAGCATAATTTTGTTTGGCATAACCATAATCATAATAATCACAAAAGTAAAGCACTGATCATTCGGTTAGGTTAGAACTGTGACTAAAACAAGAAACGAGTCGAGCGAACACGGCTTGTTGCAGCAGTGGCCGGCTTATTTATTATAATTAAGGGCTCTTATTAATTTTGACTGTGATTTTTGGTTGAAATGGTCTATTTTGGCATTCTAGATCTCAGAACCGAAAATATGTTACTAATTTTAGTTCGTTAATAGTTCGTAGCCGCTTCGCTTTTTATAAATTGTGTTTTACTTTTTATTTAAACCCAAAATTGTAATACAATTATTGTAGTAAAATAATTATACTAATAGTTAAATAGTTGACTGTGATTTTTTCTTATCTACAATAATATTATTCATCAAAATATGTACCTAAATAATGATAACTTATTAAGAAAGAAAGATTTCATAATTTTTATCCTATTTCAATAAAAAAAAAAATATTATGATTACCGAAGTTATACTTAAAAAATGTATTTTTCTTTCACAGGCGGCACTTATAGCGAAGACAGCGCACAAAGAAGGCGGTAACTTGAAAGATACCGCTATCAAACTAGGCATTCTAACAGCAGAACAATTTGACCAATGGGTGCGTCCTGAAGACATGCTCGGGCCCAAGTAGATACCTTTCAATACAAACAACTAGATTTATTTGTAAACTTTGCGCCATAACGCATTTTAAACGCGACAATATTTTGTAATCGTTATAATTTTTGACCTCGCGTTTATTTACATAAGGTATTTTAATTTACGATCTCTAATGCAGTAAATTAGAACATTAATTGCTATAAGTGAGATAGGAGGATATGAGTTCAAAATTCACGTTATAATTGTACTTAAAATATTATGCTGATGTATCAACTTCTAGAGAATATTGTATACCGGAGAGGTCTGTTATTTTATTGAATATTTTTTAATGATTAAAAATATTGCATGAATGGCATTCTGTGCCACAAATGACAATTCAGTATCTTCTTTTTCTTTTAATTGATGGCGTTGCCCTTGTGCATTTCGCCAGAATCCAGTGTTTCGCTCAGTTTGTTTCACATTTTAGTAATTTATAAACTCTGCTTTTTGTATGTTGGTGGTAAAAGCCCAAGTTAAATTTAGAATATTGTCGAAGTTAAATTTTACTTACCTGAAAGGAACTTACGTAACTTAAGTATTACCGATTTAACCTTTTGAATGTTTGAGCATGTATTGGCAATTTTGTCACTGCAGTGTGTCAAACAAAACACGAGTTAGCAATATTGTGACAATTTTCAGGCAACATTGTTACCATGCAAAGTGGTGGAACTGATTTAAAATATAGAAATATATGTTATTTCATTGGCCGTGTAAGTTAACCTAGATAGAACTGATACAACATTTTGTGATCCATTTGGCTTATTATAATTATCATCGTAAATATTTCGTAAATAAATATATATTATGTAACATCTTTTCTCTAAATATTCTTGAGGTTTCAATATGGGACGTTAGTAGGTCACAGTATGTTTTATCATGTTTAGACGTTATAATTATATGGTAATTATGATTTATTTGTTGAAAATTTAATAAACAAATTATATTTTGTTATTTTTTTTGTTATTACTGAAACTAAAATGTCACTACCAAAATGATATCGTCAAATAGTAAATCTTGTTTTGAATTTAGAAAATAAAGTAATAGAATTTATGCATTTACATCTGTTAATGTACAACATTTATTTATGAAACCATAATTATGATAAAAATCCATGGTTGTATATAATCATTTGTCATTAAGATAATTTAGATATTCGAACTTGTTAAATATGCGTTTTATATTTATGGCTACGAGTCGTGGAATGTTTATCTCAATATTTTTTATTAAAATAAAAAATAATTTTTATTTTAGTGCTTTTATTGCCAAAGGTATTCTTTAATACACATTATCTTAAAATTACATATTCCTAAATTTTAGGTAAATCTTTCATTGAAAGGTTTGAATTGTTTTGTAGATTATATCAATATCTCTCCACAGCCAAGTGGCTTACAATTTGGTTTCAAGTTTCGCCGTCTCAAGTCGTGGGTTTGATTCCCAGCTAGGTCAATATTGAAAATAAATTATTTCGTAACAGACTGATAAATAAGGGACTAAATGAATCAATAATTATATTTAATAGAAGGCAATGACGATGCCATCCTTTGTTATTTATTACCATAATATTTCTAATATTTATTTATATTTGGTGAGATCAAGAGAAATCGATGGAAGCTTAACTCATAGTGACACCAATATACCTATTAAAAATATTGGAAGAAAAAAAGTGACAAGCTTTGCTATGCATCCAATAGGACAGGCTAAATTTACTTTAGGAGGTGGGATAAGACCACTTATGGTACAAAAACTTATATCGCTTGAACTTTTGGAAAAGGAAAATGCATTGATGCCATTGCTGAGTGTTTTCGAATTCAGGACAACACTTAAGTTACAAATAAGATATAGAAAGAAAATAGGAAGTAAATTTAAATAAAAGTCAAAGGTACTTGCTTTCAACTACAGTATAATTTGCAATAATTATAGCCTTAAATAAAATTACATTACATATATGCATTATTTTCTTAAATAAAATCTTTGGTGCTTTATAAATCAGTTTCTTTTAATTAGCTATCATATTTACGATTCCTTGGAATGTTTTAATATTGACTAGAATAAATTAAGCAATTGTTTAATTCATAATATGATCTAATTGACTTAAAAATAATAAAAAAAAAACTAATACATTTTAGTAATTTAATGCATAAATAATGGACTAGAAGTGTAACTAAATATCAATAATAAACAAATGCAACAGCATAGTGTGGAAGGCATATTATGATAATTGCTTAAGTATATAAGTGTATTCTTAAACTACATAAATACATCTTTGATATTCTGAAACTGTTTCACAGCGAGGTCAACTGGCAAGTCAAAATTGTAAGGGGTTAAACGGTCTAAACTTTGTAAGGCGTCTTGAAAACCTGTGTTCACAATATAACTGGTTGAAGAATAATATGTATCTATTAAAGATCTACTCTTCAACATTATATTCAGCCAAATGACAAGTTTGTGAGCGTTTAGTGCAGCACAAACAAAAGCCTTAAAATGAGCATCATAGCTTCTTTTATATGGCATATGTGATGCTATAATACTACCTATCACACTTAACAAACTCTGTCTATTTGTTATAGCAGTGCCACCAACTATGTCCAAGTTGAAACTTTGACTTAGTTTTCTGGCCGGTGTAGAGTTGAACCTATCACCATCATTCATATCATAGTAACGTAAAATTAATTCCCAAATGTGTGTTGGACGGGATGATGATGATCTACGAACAGGGAAACAACCAATAATAGGAACAAGAGAAGATGACTCTGGGCCAACTAAACCATGCTGCAATAAATCTCGTAAATTGACTGCCAGATGTTTCCGTACTGCGGTTGTAAGTGGTGCATCATTAATGATCACCCCTCCTTCTTCAGATTCACTATCGTAACTATCAACCATAGTATGTAGTGGCCTATCACGAGATACCAAATGAACGACTGCATCAATAGACATTTCTAGCTTTGCTCGGAGATTACCCCAGTGTGTAACATTAGTTGATTTGAGATCATACCTTTTATTTGTATTTGGTGAGCATCCGAATTGTGAAACTGTGAATATTTGTATAAGAGTAGAAGCCTTTCTCATCAAGTTAATAGTTTCAGCTCTTAGGTCATCATTGTTTTTGTTTTTACTAAAGGTTTTGTCAAACTTTTCTGATTTCAACTTTTCTTCAGTCTTACTGGACTTTGTATTTGTTTGTAGATCCTCATTTTTCATGACTTTAATGAATTTTTGCATGTCTTCTATATGTGTTTGAAGTTTACTTATGATTTCATCCCTTGATAGTTGTCTATCTGCATATTGACGAACTGCACAATTTATTTGATGTCTTAACTCATCTGCACTCAAGGGCTGATGACATCCTTCTTCCACATTTTGATCAATTTCATTTCTTAAATGTTCTATGAGTGTTCTGTGTTTAGTGTCACCTGTTAAACTGGGGTCGACAGCAAATCGCTCAAGCTCTTTTAGTTGACTCTTTAATCTTTCTATAAAATGAGATTGCCGTGTATGTTGTCGTCGCATTTTCTTCTCCAGCTCAGCACATTCATTACAAGTGGGCTCTCCAGAGCTTCCTTGTGGCGCAGCTCGTGTATCCGGGACTCCTCGTGACGTAAATTCTTCGAGGGCTTTAAGCATGTCATCTTTTTCTTCCGGGGGAGCTTTTAGTATCTGCCGTAAACGAAACTCCACTTGAGCCAAATGAGAGGTTAATGAGAATACAGAAGACGACAAAATTTCCTGTTCTTCTTCTAAAGCATGTAAACGATCTCCAGGTATGGTTTCTTGGAGGCTTTCATCACAAAGAGTTTCTTTAGGAGCCCCCAAAGGCTCTCTTCGAGGTTCTTGCCAAATAGGAATCTCAATGTCATCGTAATCATCGTTCATGGCATCCATTATTTAAAAATACCTTTTAACACTAGTTTCACACAAAATCATTCATTGTTTATGTATTGATTTCAGCAAAATTAATTAAAACAACTTGAAAAGTCAATGAAGAAAATTATACACCTACGTCACTCACTTTTCAAATTGTTTGACGCACAGAACCTATCACAGAACACTTTTACGTTTGACGTCACTTTCTCACTTTCTGAACGACACTGCGAATGAACGAACATGCATGGAACGAACCATTGAGATTTATACTTCAACTTCATTTCAATGGTCACAACAGTCAATTATACCTTCTTCTTCTTCGTAACTTTCTTTTTATACTTAAAATATAAGGCTATGCCTTATCAAATAATTTAAAGAATATAAGATTTGGCTGTATGGCTTAGTCCCTTGGCCTATCTCATGAATGAAACTACTACTATAGTACTAAGTACTTATTACTACTGACAAATCTTTTTTAACAGATTATCATCGCCATCTTTCATTCATTTCATTTTACATATAGAAATCAGACTTTAGTACTTAGTACTTATTAATTCTATGGACTTTTTAGAAATTAATTTATTCATTATGACTATGTAGAATGAGGAAGTATTAAAAAAAAAACATTAGCTGCCGAAATCAAACTACATGTCGCTACGGTACATTCTTAATTTCTCCATGATAGCCCTTCCGGTTTTCTTTCATGTTTAAAGGTAAATTAGTTTTCAAAACTCAGTATCATATTCTATTGTACTTTTTCGTATTTGTATTGATGTCTAAGTTTAGATTTTTTCACATTTCAGTTTTTAATGTATAGTTAAAAGGAACGGTATTTGGTCCATTCGAATCAATATTGACATTTCGATTCATAAAAATTAACTCCATTTTTTGATGACGAAAAGTATTGTTACTGTGGTTTATCTCCATTTGAATAATTAGGTATAGTAATTCCTTAACAATAAAACTACCTATTAGATATTTTGTCTTGTAACATACGCTTCACCGTTGGTCTGCGAGAGTAAAGATAATACACTCGACCATAAGGTTATCGGCTATAGATATTACGAAATGGTTTTATATAATAATAAATTATTGTTATTATAATCGCAGTTGTATATAAGATGTGATTCAAGCGACTGTAAAATATGTTTTGATATATCACGTAATATTTTTAAAAATAAATCTTACTTTTTTTTTTTTAATTTATAAAGCAAGTGATAGATTAGTGTTAAGCCTAGCATCGACTACAGACGATGATAAGTTGTACTTTGTCGAAACTGTAGGTAATTTCAAGGCGAGCACGACTTACTTCAGTGAACACTGAAGTAAGTCGTGCTTGGAATTAATGTAGTTTAACAATTAGTTTTTCAATTTTTTTTACAAATTCTCTATCCCTGCATTGATTCGTGTGCGCCACTTGAATGGAGTTGAAACGCTTCGCCATCGTACGATGGAGGTCGTGCGTTCGTACGATCGTTAACTAATGACGACGGGACAATGTAAGGGACATTGTAAGCAATATATGTACCTGTATTGTGCAATTATAGCCAATTGCGCTGACCGCTACCTAATTGCAATGTATATAACAGAATATAATGCTATTTATTTTTCATTAAAGGCTTTTTATATCTGGATCAAGAAAACAAAAACAGTACCTAATAGTACCTACTTTAATAATATAACAACACAACAGCAAATAAATTGGGCATCGTAGAACACACCAGATTCTTTGAGTCTAAAAGGAATAAGTACCCATTGTACCTTCAATTTGGGTATTACAAAAATGAGTGAAAGGAAATCTAGATGGCTAAAATTTTTACAAGCTCTATTCTCAGCGAGCATGTTATGGGTAAGGATTTGCTAATTCGTAATGGTTTAAATAACTTAAAATTATTATTGCCTGCTTTAGTAGCTCGCTGGTGCAGTGTTTATATCATTCGGTCTTCGATGCTAAGGTTAAGTAAATGTTGCAAGAATCGTTCATAGGGTGGGTGATATATATATTTTTTTATGTTGAGCTCCTCCTTGCTTAAATCGTCCATGGCGAGCAAGGTACTAAATGGGGTAATCCGCACTGGGCCAGCGTGGATTATAGTCCCGTTCCCCTTGTTTGGTCCCGGCTATAGTAGTAGCCGGTGCCTCGGCAGTGGGAGGCATAAATTGGCTGATGATTATTATTGTTTATTTCTGCGTAAAGTAAAAAGATTGTTAATTGTATATTGCTATATATCTTAGGCCTGCTTGGGAATTAATTCACTCGCTCTACTCAACTTTAGTTTTGATATGACAGATTCAAAAACGATCGGCACGGTACACCACAACCGTCAAGTAAAAAGTCAATGTCTAGACTTTTAATAGTTTATCATTTTTAATATTAAGCACGTTACAAACACGTCATTCTACTTCCTTGTACACGCTCTGTTTGTTGTTAATTTAATAATGACTATAATTTTTTCATTTTTTTTTCAGATTATAAAAGTAAGCATTTTAGTTATAATGTTTAGGGCTTTATCTTTTTATCGTGAAAATATTACAATGGGGTATTATGATTCCAATACGATGACGACTCACTTTCTAGCTGAAATCGTGATTATAATAATTCTAGAAATAACTTTGATATTTCAAGGAATCTTTGATTTGTGTATAGTCATCAGTATTTTTATGGTAAATAATATTATAGAATTGGAATGCATAAATTAAGTATTTATATAATGTTATAAGCAGAGGTCGGAATTAGGTAGAGTTATTTATGTACTTGCATCGAAATGTTGATATTAATGTGGACCTTCTCGGGATTTCTAATGGACAATCCCGTGTGGCCAACAATCTTACAACTAAATAATAATAACAACGTCAGAGATAGACAAATAAAACAAAGATAATTAACATAAAATTTTTATTAGTTAACATTAATTTACAATACAAATTATTGATAGTCTTAAGCAAATTCTCATACACATATTTAGTAGTGCAGTAGTTTAAATTGTGTAAAAGTAAATAACTTTTTATTTAAAAAATCACGGGATTTTTTCTGCTCTTTAAAATTAATCTCGGGATTTAAGGCATATTCACTTTATTCTTTCGCTGTATGAAATCAGTGTAAGTACATGAATAACTCTACCTAATTCCGACCACTGGTTATAAGTTAACAACAATATATGTTTTTTTAATTTCAGAATAAATATAAAACATTGAGAGTATTACTGTGGCCGAATGCCATGTGTTACACATTAGAGTGCTTAACGTATATTTTCTCCGTATTGTACGGAGCATGTGTTGGCAATTTTACTACAGCAGGAAATATCATATACATAGCAATATATGCTGCTTTATTATGTAAGTATTACAATTGAGTAAGGTTTCATAAATTAACCCCTGTATAAGTTTAACATCTAATAATTTTAAGTATTATAATTACCTATAATAATTTTATTTTTTGCTTAGTATTAAATCGATTTATATAAACAAAAAAATAAGTGAATTTGGCGTCGTCATCTTTATAAGTCTCGGTGTCATCAAACATTTTTGTGTATCGTCTTAGATCTGTCTAATTATATTTCCCCATAATATCTTTCATCACTGTTTCTATTGTGAGCGTGTCATATGGGTGATGTCAATCGACCTCATTAGATGCGTCGTAATTGGCCAATAAGCGATGCGATTGTCGTGCGATGAAAATGATCGGGTGATTGATTTTAATAAATCGCACGATGCCCACGCACGGTGCTTTATTGTAATCTTTATTATAAGAAAAAAAAATGGTCGCATTGTCAAACAACTAACTAGTACGAATATTATTTAGCATTGTTCACAATCGCATCATGACTTAAATTAGAAACAAATATTTTAAAAAGATTTGTCTCTAATTTCATTCGTACGACTATATAATTGTATCGTTTGATTGTAAGATCACATTTACGTAAGATAATAGTAGTTATAATAAAATGTATTGTTTGGATTTCAGTACTAAGTGCAATCTTCTTGCTGGTAATAAGAAAATATGACATTGATGTAAAAGATGAAATGTTAACGCTGCCCTCAACAAGAGACAATTATAAAAAATATTCAAGAAAGTTTGTGTTTATGATATGATGTAGTTATTCTTCTTTTGACCCAGGGAAAACGTGTTACACACTATCCCTGCTGAATGATAGATGTGTGATGTGTGGGACCGCCTGACGGTGTGTGGAACTCTCACTCGCTAAAATGAACTCACTCACTTTTGTCTACTCTCAATTGTCATTTTTCATCCGAGAAAAAAGAAAAGAAAAGGGTCATTTGATGTAGACAAAGCGTTTCACGAGTTTGATATGCTACGCGTGCAATCGGAACGACGAACACAGGATAGGCGACCAAAATATTGTCTCGAGCTCCTTCGTGCTTCGAAAGGCGCGTTAAGCCGTTCTTCTCGCCGCAATCCGCAGTCGTTAATACTCATCAAACCGCACTGACTAGGCCCGCGTGGTGGGTCGTGGCCCATTTTCCTTTTGATTAGATTCGATTTTCGGGTAGCTCGGTGGCGTAGTGGATTAGCGCCGCGGCCCGTGATCGTAGTCGTTAAGCAACTTTCGCAAGGGTCGGTCACGGGATGGGTGACCAAAAAATTATTATCTCGAGCCACTCCGTGCTTCGGAAGGCACGTTAAGCCGTTGGTCCCGGCTGCATTTTGCAGTCGTTAATACCCTCCAATCCGCATTGGGCCAGCGTGGAGGGTCATGGCCCATCCTCCTTAACCATCCATAAGGAAGGCCTGAGCCCCTGCAGTGGGGACGTAAAAGGGCTGATGATAGATAGATTAAATTTATTGATTTATTATTTATTATTTTTTGAAGATGATAGATTGATTTATGAGTAAAACATAATTATGTCAACGATCAATTGTGGTAAAAAATAATTTATGTCAAACATAACAAAATATATGAGGAATACAAAAAACAACTTAAAAATAATAAATCAACTTCAAAAAAATCTTACTAAAGAGAAACGACCGAAAAGAATAATATTACCACAATTTTTTATTATCTTCATTAAAATCAAACCTCATAAAGTGGATATATAAAACAATTTTTTTAGATCCGTTCTAGCTGTGTCATAAGAAGTCAAGTTAAGAAGTATAACAGCACTATCAGAAAATCTATTTTTTTTATCGTACCTACATGA